AGACCTCATCTCTACAATAAATCAAAAAATTAGCTGGGCGTGGTAGCGCATGCCTGTAATTCTGGCTACTCGGAAGGCTGAGGAGGAAAGATCACCAGAGTCCAGCAGGTCGAGGCTGCGGTGGCCGGGAGCGGCCACTGCACTCCAGTCTGGGTGACAGAGTGAGACTCCAACTCGAAAAAAAAAAAAAGAAATGGTGATAAGAGTCAGGCTCTCGGTGGCTCAGCCTATAATCCCACGCCTTTGGGAGGCCGAGGTGAGTGGATTGCCTGAGCCCGCGGGTTCGAGATCCGCCTAGGCAACTTGGCGAGACCTCATCTCTACAAGAAATCAAAAAATTAGCCGGGCGTGGTAGTGCGTGCCTGTAGTTCCTGCTACTCGGAAGGCTGAGGCGGAGGGATCGCCGGAGCCCAGAGGATCGAGGCTGCGGTGGCCAGGAGCGGCCACTGCACTCCAGTCTGGGTGACAGAGTGAGACTCCAACTCAAAAAAAAGAAAAAAAAAGAAATGTGATAAGGAGCTCCCAAGCTGGGAGCTCATGTGGGAGCCCAGAGAGGGCTGCAAGCTTGCCCTCGCCCCACACCCCATCCTAAGCAATGCTTCCATTGGGCTGGTTCCTGAGTTGTGTCTTTTATGATACACCAGCAACAGGATTGCAAATTGGTATCCTTTGCACTGTCAGAACAAAAATCTCCCAGAGCAAAGCCTCCAAGTGTTGAAGCTGCTGCTGCTGCCCACCAGCAGAGTAAAGTCACTGCTACCAGTGGCCCCAGTAAGGCTGGGTGTAAGAGTGATGATACACTCAGGTCAGGTCCTTTCCAGCTCTAAAAGAACCCTTGGGGCAGCCAGAGCCATCAGTAAATACCACAGAAATGATTCGTCTGAAAATGACCAAGCAAACTCAAGCATCTAGGCCATAGAACTACTTTTGTGCCCTTTTTAAATTCAAAAATAATAGTAATAGTCAAATAAAAGCAGGTCTAATGTAAACTTAACCTGTAACAGACAATTATACATAATGTCAAATCTCATCAAAATCGCATTTTAAAAGTTAAACTAGAAGAATATTCCCCCTGCAATAACCTCCCCTTGGCCACAGTGCAACCCGATGAAAGCACATGCATGCAGTCCTGTTTCTGCCAGTTGCTCCAAGAGACTCTGCCACCCAGAACAGCTCGAGCTTGGAAAACACACTATTTGAGACACTGCTAGCTTCAAACGAGGCAGGGAAAGTTCCAAACTCTTCCTCAGACTAACAAAAAAATGAGCGGGGTGGGGTGACCTCGGAAGCGCTGGAGCAGAGGTGGACTCCAGGCGGGGAGGGGCTGAGGAGAATGGCCTGCAGTCCAGTGAGGCCCAGAGTGCCAGCAAACAGACCCAGAAAGTAGAGCCACTGTGCAAGCAGGACAGTGAGCCACATCGTGGGTCCCACGGACTGACAGAGGCCCACAGGAGAGCACAGCAGAGACACGGGATGCCTAAAAAGTGAGAGGGTGCAATCACAAAGATGGACTCTAGGGAGAGACCACTAGGAATAAGCAGATTTTTAAGTGCAATTTTTATTTTTTATTTATTTATTTTTTTGAGTTGGAGTCTCTCTCTGTCACCCAGACTGGAGTGCAGTGGCCGTTCCCGGCCACCACAGCCTCGACCTGCCAGGCTCCG